TCAACCCTACCAGGTGGATGGGAGCAAAGCACATTTGTTAGGATGACCCTGGGCTCTTTGCAGGATCCAGCAAGAGGTCAAACAGTTGCGTTTCAGAATTGGGGACTCTGGCTTCACCGTGGCAGGAAGTCCCGGCCATGTTCCAGGCACAGTCACCGCTGTGGATGACTAAACATGCATTCACCCACTTTTGGCTTTCTGGAAGATTTACATTCCCAGGAGAAAGGTTAATTTTTTCTGGATTAGGTGCCCTGGTTGTTAAGGGCTGGGAGACTGTGTTAAGTCTTTGGCAGCCTTACCAGGTCTGCAGAAAAATGGAAAAAATGTTAGGCAAAGCAGAGAGCTCCTACAATGGCTGAGTAATTGCCATTCTTTGTGGTTCACCTATTCGAACCCTGTTTTATGTCCTGTGTATGCTTTCTAGCCAATTTAATGCATGTGTAATACTTTTAAATCTCCCCTCTCTCTCTCTCTCTCTCTCTCTCTCTCTCTCTCTCTCTCTCTCTCTCTCTCTTTCTGAGTGTCCTGTGCCTCCTCTTAGTTATTGTGTGTGTGTACATATAATGTGTGTGAGTAAGTGCACATGTGCAGAGGGCAGAAGATAACGCCATGTGCCATCTTCAGGAGCTGTCCATTAGAGCTTTTTTGAGATAGTGTCTCTCATTGTCCTGGATCCCAGAAAGCTTGGAATTTGCTGCCTCTGGCGCCCCAGTGCTCCTGTTATAAAAGCACACCGCCACCATTCCCCTCTCTTTTATTGTAAACTTCACTTTGGGGATCAAACTGAGGTCCTCATGGTTGCAAGGCAAGCACTCAGTCACCTGTGCTCTCTCACAGCCCTCATCCAAGATACTTTCCACGATTCACTGACAGTGTGGTCATCAGGCCTATGACCTTCTTTGCACACTCTAATCAGAATGAGCTTGCTTGACTTCTAAATGCACGTGATTGATCGTCCTTGGCACCACCCTTCTCTCCCCATAGCTATTCCTTGTCAATGACTTTACCTCTGTGTCTACCTCCTAAGGTTATCTAGGAGATAGCCAATTAAGACATCATTTCTCTCCATGCAACCAACTTTCTAGCCTTCCGGCTTGCTTTCTCAACTATTGCCACGGAGCATTTTGCTTCTTATTGTCTGTTATGGTCTGAATTGGAAATGTCCCACATAAGGTCACATGCTCGAATACTGGGTCTCCAGCTGGTGGTGTCATCTGGGGAGACTGAAATCTTTAGGAGATGGATACTTCTTGGAGGAAGCATATCACTGGGGAATGGGGAGTGGACCTTCAGGTTTTACAGCTCTGTCCCAGTCCCTCCCCCCCTGCTTCCTGACTGTCGGTGGATATGCCTGCTGGCATCATGGTCCTGCCACCATGCCTTCCCAACTAAGATGGACTGTATTCCCCTGGAATATTCTGTGGGTCAGAACAAGCCCTTCCCTCCTTAAGTTGCTCTGGTCAGGTATTTTGTTTCAACAATGTATAAAGTAACTAATTCACCGTCTCTCCTTGATTTACTGTCTTCTAAACATAGCCTGAATTCCACGGTAACAACATTCAAGGCAATTCTTCAACATCAACTTCCACACTAGACTATAAGCAGCGTGAGGGGGGCATCTGACATTCATCCTGAGTCACCCAGGTCTGAACAAAGCGATGGAATACAAGTCCTCAAAATCTTCTAATCCTGCATCTGTGGACTGGTGCTCTCAATGAGCGATCCCAAAATATCCCATTGCTGTCCCATAGAAATGGAGGAAGTGGAGATCTCTTCTCATACACATGGAATAGGTAATGCAATACATTTTTTTTCTCAGCTTTGTTTTCTCCAAAATCAAGCACTTTGACCTGGGTTCTCATGAGCTCTAATTGATCTTCCATTTTAGCAGAGAAGTACTAATCCAATATTAATAATAAAAAACTTGAAAATAGCTTGTCACATATAATTTTAGATGTAGACTCTCATGTATTTGGACCTGTGTCTGTAATACATTTTTACTGTAGGGGTTCTAGGTTGCACAGGTTTGGTCCCAAACTTATGGCTTGAAGCTGCCATGACCAGGTTGCAATGTATTAAGAATATTAAGTATAAGGGGCTTGAGTGATGGTGGCTCAGGAGTTAAGAGCATTGGCTGAACTTGCAGAGGACCTAGGCTCATCCCAGTGCCTAACTAATAGTTCAGAACTGGCTGTAACTCCAGCTCCAGGGGATCCAATGCCTTCTTATGGTCTCTGTGGGCACTGCATAAAGTGGTGCACAGGTACACATGCAGGCAAAACACCCATACAAATGAAATAAGAATAAATTTAAAAAGTAACATTTTTTGTAATTTTTTTATTAGCTCAAATTAGGAACAAGTTTGCTTCACATGTCAATCCCTTCCCCCTCCCCCTCCCCTCCCCCAAGCCCTCCTCTCCTACCCCAACCTACCCCCAACCCCATCCACCCTCCACTCCCCAGGCAGGGTAGGGTCCTCTACAGGGGCTCCCCAAAGTCCACCACATCATCCTAGGCCAGTCCTAGGCCCTCCCCCATGTATCCAGGCCTAGAGTGCATCTCTTCACGTGGGATGGGCTCTCAAATCCCTTCTTACACCAGAGAAAAATACTAATCCACTACCAGGGGCCCCGTAGAGCG